ATAAAAATAAAAAAAAATATAATGTGAATAATATATATATATATATATATATATATATATATATATATATATATGCATACATATATGTGTGCATATACATATATATATATATATATTAATTTTCATTGTGAGAATTATTGTTAAAACTAAAGTAATAAAAAAAACATTAAAAAAGTAACATTATATATAATGTTATAAATGTATATACAAGTATTTTATATATACATATACATTTTCATTTTTATTTTATTTGTTTATAAGCAAAAATAATGTTTATAAAAACAAAAATATATTAAAACAGCTTGTTCAAGGCTAGAATGATTGTACATTTTTTTGTTAGCATTTTTATTTGTTGTTTAGTTATGTTTGTTCAATTTATGTAATTCAAAGTGCAGTATACAGTAAATGTTTTCCAAATATAAAGTATTGACATTTTTTTTTCTGACCTGTGTTGTCTCCTAGGCTCACGCAGCAGCCTGGCACTTGTATGATGACCGGTATCGTTCCAGTCAGGGTGGGCGAGTGTCCATGGCTCTGGCCTCCCACTGGATCAAACCTAGCAGAACCCGGCAGGAGAACAGGAAAGCCTGCCAGTGTTCTCTGGACTTTGTGCTCGGCTGGTTCGCCCGACCATTGTTTGTGGATGGAGACTATCCACCCTGCATGAAACGCAATTTGACCCACAGACTGCCGTCCTTCACGGAGGCCGAGAGCTTGTACGTTAATGGAACAGCAGACTTCTTTGCCCTGTCTCACGGACCTGCTCTTAGTTTTCAGCTGATCAATGACAGTCTGCGCTTTGCCCAGACAGAAGACCTGGGTCTGAGGATGCTGCTGTACTGGGTCGGTGCCGAGTACAACAATCCTCCCATCTTTGTTGTGGAGAGCGGCTGGTTTGGAAGTGGCAACACAAAAACAAAGGATGCTAAGCAAATGTACTACCTGAAGCGCTTTATTATGGAGACTCTAAAAGGTACATGGATGAATTGAGGGTGTTTGATGAAATGACAAGGATAAAATTAATAATAATAGATCGAATATTAGCCAGTATATGGCCATTTTGAGATGATCTTATGTATATCTTTTAATGGTTAAAGAAGCATTCACAATGTAGGCTACTTAGACTTATTTAGCCATTAACAATATAACAATTCACATTTCACAGTTAGTAATTGATTGTAAACAATAATTTTCTTCTCTTTACAGCAATCCGCTTTGACAGAGTAAATGTGATTGGTTACACAGCCTGGTCTCTGCTGGATGGGTATGAGTGGTACCGTGAATATGGAATACGACGAGGGCTATTCTTTGTGGATTTCAACACTCCTGATCTGAAAAGAGAGCCAAAGACATCTGCCACTTTCTATAGCAATCTCATAGAGAAGAATGGCTTCCCTCAGCTGCCTGAGAACCGGCCTACACAGGGCGTCTTTCCCTGTGACTTTGCCTGGGGAGTTGCAGCCAACTCAATACAGGTAAAATTTTAAAGGGCACCTATTATGCAAAATCCCCTTTTACATGGTGTTTGGACATAAATGTGTGTTGGCAGTGTGTGAACACAACCTCCCTACAATTATAAAAATCCACCCACTCCTTATTTTATAATCCCCATTAAACCAAATCAGTCTCACTAGGCATGCTGTTATGATTCTCTAAGCAATATGACGTCACATCGCCCATGGCCGATGACTGACAGTCCTGCATTGCCATAGTTTCCGTCCTCAGTGAGTTGTTTGGTTGCACGCTGTCCTCCAATTTCTCTGCGTTTAAGCAGCTGTAACGTCAACAATGTCTCGTAATCAATCCCGGTATTCTGTGTTTGGATGTAAGACTGAACATAAGAGTCTTCATTTTCTCCCAACATCTGAGCCACTGAGGACGCAGTTACTTTTATTTGTATTAAATTACTCTTTTTTTTTTCAAGGTAATGTGCCTCAAAATCTACCTAAATACGTACAAGTATGCACAAATCATTTAATCATTTATATATAAATATATATAATGTTTATTTGAATATTGATGGTTGAATGTTGATTGTTAATTTTTAAATAAAAAAAAAACCTGATAGTTAACCTCGTATTACATCTAACTGCACACATTTCATCAAAATAAAAGGAAATGGCTTTAGTTTGTTCACCTCAGCCCAGCAAATCAAACTTACTTGATTGTTCTTGTTTGACCCATTCAAAGGTCACTTTTATAGAACTTAGATTCTGTGTAGATCTTATGATGTGTTTAACTTTAGTCTTTGATCTTTGTTCAAACTTCAAACATTGATAAACATCATTTGGATATATTAAAAATATATTTTTATTTAATTTCTTTTTAATTCTGCCTTCTGATGCTGTTTTGAAGGTTGATACTATACCTACCCAGTTTGCCGACCCTAGTGTTTACATCTGGAACGTTTCTGGTAACGGAGAGCTGAAAAAGGTCCCGGGGGTGCTGGTGCCCCCTATGCACAGGAAACACCACTGTGCCGATTACAGCAGCATCCTCCAGCAGGTGTCTGATGTGCACCGTATGCAAGTCTCACACTTCCACTTCTCCCTCAACTGGTCCTCCATCACCCCAACAGGCCGGGTGTCTGATGCTAACGAAACACTTCTAAAATACTACCATTGCTTTGTCAGTGAGCTACAAAAGGTTAACTTAACCCCTGTTGTGACCCTTTGGCACCACACAGGGAAACTGTCCAGCCTGCCGGCATCCATGGAGGCTGGTGGGGGCTGGCAGAGCGAGGAGACAGTTCAGGCCTTTGCAGACTACGCCAGGTTATGTTTCCAACGACTAGGAGCTCATGTGAAGCTGTGGATCACGCTGAATGAACCTAACGATGAAGATCTTGAATTCACTGTGGGCCACCAGCTGCTCCGTGCGCATGCGTTAGCTTGGCACGTCTACGACACTGAATTTCGCAGAGCTCAAGGTGGTAAGGCATCACTGGTTCTTCATATGGACTGGGTCGAACCTGCGTTTTCTTTCAACAGAGAGGACGTTGAGCCTGCAAACCGAGTCCTGGACTTTCGAGTCGGCTGGTTTGCAGAGCCCATCTTTGGTAGTGGTGATTACCCAGCGGTGATGCGTACTTGGCTCCAACAGCGAAACAATATTGATCTCTTCAACTACCACTTACCCGCATTCAGCGATGAAGATCAGCTGTTGGTTAAAGGAACCTACGATTTCTTCGCCATCAGCCATTTTACTACCTCAATGGTGTATGATGGAGTGGAGGACAAATACACCTTCAAAGACAAGTTGCAGGTACAGCTGATTTCTGACGTGGCCTGGATCATGTCTCCAAGACGCAACTCTCCTGTGGTCCCCTGGGGTCTTCGCAAGGCACTGAACTGGGTTAACTCTCGATACAAAGGGGTTCCCATTTACGTGATGGCCAATGGTGTTCAAGAGGACACTGCTAGGTTTAAGGATAGCTTGCGTGTCTACTACTTTTACAACTACATTAACGAGGCCTTAAAAGGTAAGGAACCACATAATGTCATGTGTTGGCTTCCAATAAATAGATACACGATGACGTATACTGATCCCAGTGTTTTGCTTTTATCAGGAGAACTTTATTGCACCTTTAGACAAAATATCTTCAAAAAATGTAAAAACATTTTTGCATATGTGCTTCTTGTTGAGTACCATAATTGATACATCATGCGTTTATGGCTTATATAGAAGAATATGAAACGTATACTCAATGAGGAATAAAAAGCCCTTAGAAAACACCCCATTTTATTCAGAGGCCCAAAAGGAGCAAATATGCAGTTTGGTGCAGTTACTGATATTTATATGACCAAAAAAGTAAGTAAGTATTCTGACAGCTTGTAATGTAAATCAGTGAGATCTTTATAACAGTATTGCAGATGTTTAAAGCTCTGTAGTTTTTATTGTGGGGGGCAAAACATATAATGCAATGCAATACAATAATGATTGAAAAATATACACTTAAAAAAGCAAAGCCCTATATATAATATTTTGATATTATTTTTACTTGCTAAAAAACTCACTCAGATGACAGAAGGCATGTAGAAGATTTTTTTTTAAATTCAGTTTAGAGGCCTTAGAAATTTGTGTATCAAATATGATACTGTAGCTTTTAACATTTAGTAATTAGGTTATCCTAATATGGCTATTTTTTGTTTTTATCAGCGCCATTAAAAACCTTTCTTGCAAATTTTAATAAAATTAAAATGCAAGGAAATGTTAGTTATTCATATTATTTAAAATATTAAGATTATTAAGATTAAAATGAATTATGTACTGATATTAAATGTAACTCATAGGTGTAATTAAACTTATTGTAAGTGTAATTAAACTTACTGTTTGCGTCAGTATTATTATATGTTGTTTATTTATAAAATACGAATTTATTATAAATGTTATCATATTTGTAGGGTGTCTTAGACGTTGAATTTTTACAACATCTTTTTTTAAGTTTCCCAGTACAATAACCCACTTGGATAAGTTCTGATGACTCAAAACAATGCTGTTTCTATTTAGAGGCACAAAGCTCACGTTGTACACATACATCCACACACAGCAGTTTAATTATTAAGCAGAAAACTGGGGAAACAGTTTGCTGATCTCAGGAAAACTAGCAAGCCGCTCTTTATCTGAGCTTTGGAAAAAATATTTGTTTACCATTCCCAAAACACTGGCAAGGCCTTATTTACTTTGTCATCTGAATTCGCTTTATAGTTACATCATGAGTTCTCCTCAGTTGTTTTCTAACTTCTGATTTGTTCTTTTAGCATATACACTGGATGGAGTCAATCTGAAGGGATATTTTGCATATGCGTTCAGCGACCAGCGGGACCCAGGCTTTGGCATGTATGGTCATGTGCAGGAGGAGGTCATTTCAAAATCTTCACTGGCCCATTACAAAAACATTATCCACCACAACGGCTTCCCTGCCCCAGGCACACCTCAACAACATTGTCCCCATGCTCCAGTGCACGGGTCTAGACGTTATGTCCTCACCAAGCAGCCTGTTGTTGGCTTTCTCTCTCTGGTGAGCTCTTGCATGCTGATCACAGTGTGCCTTGTTATCTACTTTGCAGTCAAAAGGCACAAAATAGCCACCAAAAAATGAAAGAAAATGGTTCCAGTGGACTCTTGCACTTTTAATTTATTTGTTTTACTGGTTAGTTTGATACAAACTATAAACTATGCTTTTAACTCTTTCTTAAATTGTAGTACTTCTGGAATTTCTTAGTGGGTACTACACAAGCCAGGAATGCCTGGATAATTATTTAACTGCAGCTTTACCATGTAAAAACACTATTTATTTGTAAGAAAAAAAAAGTATATCGCATTATTTGGTCAAGTTTGCACAACGGCTTGGTTTTTGCACAAGTTGTAAAATAAAAGTAATGGGGGAAAAGTAATTTATTCTGTTCTGGCATTTTGAAGACCGTGCTATGGTTAGCTTAAGTAAGTGATGTTACAGAGGTCATATATATATATATATATATATATAAATACTTTAATGTATTAAATAAATGTTTGTTGTACTTAATTTCATTGTAAAGTAACTTTGATATCTTTAATTTTCTATTACCTATAATTTATATGTACTCTTATAATTTTCTGTATCTGCCTTATATTTACATATAGGGATTATATTATGCTTTTTTAATGTTCATGTTTGCGATTTCCATTCCATTTGTGCGTTATGTGGCCAAGGTTTTGCATCATTTCATCTGTGTCCATGTGAAATTCTGTACCTCTTTGATTAGATACCCAAATAGCAATAACAGCAGGCCAAGAACATTTGAAATGGTTTTTATTATGAAAAACAAACAGTTAATTAATATATCTTATTCTTTTAGGCTACAGTGGCTCAGAACATAAAGTTGTCAAGTCCATCTTCCATAAACTTCTTGTAGATGGCCATGAATTTAGCCACAAAGGCCTCCAGGTGGTAGACTGCTTTGCTTCCAAGCTGCAGTCTGTGCTCATAGTATGCCGCCATCTGAACCACCTCAGCCTTCAAATGTCCATCGCAGTTACTTAGCAACTCTGTCACCAGGCCCTGGAATACCATGCAAAGAAAAAGTGTTAATGCAGTGATTGTTCACCAGTTTTATTTAACCCTGCAATTTAACTATTTCACAGTACACATGATTTATTTATGCTGCAAATAAGTAGCTATACCTTCATGATGACTTCTGGTGGGATGCAGTGAGTCAGAAGTTCATACAATATATATATATATATATATATATATATATATATATATATATATATATATATATATATATATATATATATATATATATAAAATACTTTAATGTATTAAATAAATGTTTGTTGTACTTAATTTCATTGTAAAGTAACTTTGATATCTTTAATTTTCTATTACCTATAATTTATATGTACTCTTATAATTTTCTGTATCTGCCTTATATTTACATATAGGGATTATATTATGCTTTTTTAATGTTCATGTTTGCGATTTCCATTCCATTTGTGCGTTATGTGGCCAAGGTTTTGCATCATTTCATCTGTGTCCATGTGAAATTCTGTACCTCTTTGATTAGATACCCAAATAGCAATAACAGCAGGCCAAGAACATTTGAAATGGTTTTTATTATGAAAAACAAACAGTTAATTAATATATCTTATTCTTTTAGGCTACAGTGGCTCAGAACATAAAGTTGTCAAGTCCATCTTCCATAAACTTCTTGTAGATGGCCATGAATTTAGCCACAAAGGCCTCCAGGTGGTAGACTGCTTTGCTTCCAAGCTGCAGTCTGTGCTCATAGTATGCCGCCATCTGAACCACCTCAGCCTTCAAATGTCCATCGCAGTTACTTAGCAACTCTGTCACCAGGCCCTGGAATACCATGCAAAGAAAAAGTGTTAATGCAGTGATTGTTCACCAGTTTTATTTAACCCTGCAATTTAACTATTTCACAGTACACATGATTTATTTATGCTGCAAATAAGTAGCTATACCTTCATGATGACTTCTGGTGGGATGCAGTGAGTCAGAAGTTCATACAATCGTGCCCGAACCTCCAAAAGTCTGTAAAAATATAATAGACGCTTTAGTTTGCATGTATATCACTTAAAAACATACCAGGTTATTGAAACCAAGTTTATTCAAATCTATCATAATGTAAAGGACAGTAGGGGATTTTAATTGTGTGCTTGTATTCATGTATGTTCTGACCTTTGAGGGCTCTGCTGGCTGACTATAGCATTAGCAGTCTCTCTGAGGTAAACCTCCCAGTCTGTCTCAGGGATGTCCTGGTCTGGAGAGAATGGATACCTGCAGGAAAGTCAATTTGGGAACAGATTACCTAAATTGTATGTGTGGCATAGACTTCAGGTGAGTTGTGTGTTAATTCAGAGGCTTCATTTGTGACTGAACAGCTATCTTTATTCTTGCTGACTTACTGTTGAACTCTGCAGGCCTCACACATCAGCAGGGCTTTACGGAGGTTACGGCCAGATTTCTCAGCGATCTGTTTGGCCAGTTCAGGAGGAAGAAGCAGCCCCTCCTTCCTGCACACGCCTGACAGAACACTGCACACCTGAGAGGACAAAGGTTGGGTTGTTTTCACATGTCAAGCAAAACACAACTTGTAATTTTAATGCAGTTTTCATTAAATTGATATATTTAAGAAAGAATGCATATGCTCACCAAGACTGATAAAAATACAGAAAAAGCTGTAGTACTGTGAAATATTATTACAACTTTTCTATTTTAATATATTTTAAAATGTGATTTATTCCTGTGATGCTAAAGCTGAATTTTCATTACTCCAGTCTTCAGTGTCACATGATCCTCCAGAAATCATTCTAATATGCTGATTTGCTCAAGAAACATTTCTCATGACCAATGTTAAATACAGTTGTACATAGTACTGTTTTTTTTTGCAGGAAAGTCAATTTGGGAACAGATTACCTAAATTGTATGTGTGGCATAGACTTCAGGTGAGTTGTGTGTTAATTCAGAGGCTTCATTTGTGACTGAACAGCTATCTTTATTCTTGCTGACTTACTGTTGAACTCTGCAGGCCTCACACATCAGCAGGGCTTTACGGAGGTTACGGCCAGATTTCTCAGCGATCTGTTTGGCCAGTTCAGGAGGAAGAAGCAGCCCCTCCTTCCTGCACACGCCTGACAGAACACTGCACACCTGAGAGGACAAAGGTTGGGTTGTTTTCACATGTCAAGCAAAACACAACTTGTAATTTTAATGCAGTTTTCATTAAATTGATATATTTAAGAAAGAATGCATATGCTCACCAAGACTGATAAAAATACAGAAAAAGCTGTAGTACTGTGAAATATTATTACAACTTTTCTATTTTAATATATTTTAAAATGTGATTTATTCCTGTGATGCTGAAGCTGAATTTTCATTACTCCAGTGTCACATGATCCTCCAGAAATCATTCTAATATGCTGATTTGCTCAAGAAACATTTCTCATGACCAATGTTAAATACAGTTGTACATAGTACTGTTTTTTTTTTTTTTTTTGGTGAAAATGATTTTTCAGGATTCTTTAATGAATTGTCGAAAGAATAGCATTTATTGGAAACATTTTATTCTTTTCAAAAATTATAAATGTATTTAATGTCACTTTTTAAAATGCATCCTTGCTGAATAAAAGTAATAATTTCTTAAAAGAAAAAGAAACCTTCACCTCTTCCACACTTGGCAGGGGGACTCTCACAGCCAGACACCTGCTCCTGATGGGGGCAATCACTTTTGAGGTTGAGTTGCAGCACAGAATCAGTCGACAAGTGGACATGTACTTCTCCATCGTACGGCGCAAGGCATGCTGGGCATCTTTAGTGAGACGATCCACCTCCGTCAGTAACACGACTGTGAAGAGATGAGACATTTTAGCATTGCAAGTTCTGTTACATTACTGTTGTATAAGTGTACAGATCATTAATATAAAGCTATCAAATCCAGACACAGCTCTTAGCTATTTAACATTCAGATTAATCATCTAACCCAATGAAAGAAAAAAGCCGAACCTTTGAACTCCCTTTGAGCACTGGACTGAATCTGCTGAGACTGAGCAACAGTTTTGATCAGCTCCTGAATGACCACACGGTCACTGTTCCCAGCATCACTGAGGAAAACGGATCAGGCATGAGGTTCTGCTAGTAAATTCACAGAGCCCAGTCAATCTTTGCATTACCTTGGATTCACCTCTAGATGGTAGTTGCTGGCAATTGTGTTGATTTCAAGCTTCTTTTTAGATGGAGTCTAATACAGACAAACAATGATAGTTAATACTGTAGTATTAGGCTATACAATTAGAAAACAGTTTATAACAATTTTTTGAAATACCGTGATGGACTGGTGTTCAATCCTGAGTTTCTCGACCCCGGGACCGTACAGCTCTCTGAGCAAACACATGATCCGGGTTTTCTTACCAGCACCAGACGGTCCATAAACCAACAAGTGGGGGAAATCACCACACTGGACCTGGACAATTAACCAGTGAGAGATCATCGTTTTATCTAATAATATTATTCAGTACTAATTAAAGACAGTATGGCTAATATGTGAAGCACATTTAATTAACGTTATATCACAGCTACTGCAAAGTATATTGTTGCTGCAACTGTAAACAAACTATTTGAAGTATTTACTTCCAGAAGAGAGCGCAATGATGTACATAAAATATAATTCATATTTAGTTATTTATATTGACTTTAGTCTGACCAAACACAAACACCAGTTCGCTGTCTAGATAGTTTCTGCTTCTTTACCAGATTTTTGAGCTGGTTTGCTTGCTCCTTGTGGTAGTCGAGTTTGGCCAAGGACGATGGTCGATATTTATCAACCCACAAACTCATTTTCTCCCCTGAACGATAAGAATATCGCGCCTCTGTAAAATAAAAAAAAGAATAATATTGTTGTGAGCTGCCTGCTCCCGAGAAACGTAAACCCGCGCAGCGCACTGTCAGAACGGCATCTACAGAGAGCGAAGAGGGTCAAGTGCTTTCGCGTTTCGTAAAACTATACATTGCTGCGCTCCTTACAGTTCGGCACTAGTAGATTGTAATCAGTACCGCTGCTATATATATAATAAGTGATGGGACAATTGATAGTAACACGACTGTGAAGAGATGAGACATTTTAGCATTGCAAGTTCTGTTACATTACTGTTGTATAAGTGTACAGATCATTAATATAAAGCTATCAAATCCAGACACAGCTCTTAGCTATTTAACATTCAGATTAATCATCTAACCCAATGAAAGAAAAAAGCCGAACCTTTGAACTCCCTTTGAGCACTGGACTGAATCTGCTGAGACTGAGCAACAGTTTTGATCAGCTCCTGAATGACCACACGGTCACTGTTCCCAGCATCACTGAGGAAAACGGATCAGGCATGAGGTTCTGCTAGTAAATTCACAGAGCCCAGTCAATCTTTGCATTACCTTGGATTCACCTCTAGATGGTAGTTGCTGGCAATTGTGTTGATTTCAAGCTTCTTTTTAGATGGAGTCTAATACAGACAAACAATGATAGTTAATACTGTAGTATTAGGCTATACAATTAGAAAACAGTTTATAGCAATTTTTTGAAATACCGTGATGGACTGGTGTTCAATCCTGAGTTTCTCGACCCCGGGACCGTACAGCTCTCTGAGCAAACACATGATCCGGGTTTTCTTACCAGCACCAGACGGTCCATAAACCAACAAGTGGGGGAAATCACCACACTGGACCTGGACAATTAACCAGTGAGAGATCATCGTTTTATCTAATAATATTATTCAGTACTAATTAAAGACAGTATGGCTAATATGTGAAGCACATTTAATTAACGTTATATCACAGCTACTGCAAAGTATATTGTTGCTGCAACTGTAAACAAACTATTTGAAGTATTTACTTCCAGAAGAGAGCGCAATGATGTACATAAAATATAATTCATATTTAGTTATTTATATTGACTTTAGTCTGACCAAACACAAACACCAGTTCGCTGTCTAGATAGTTTCTGCTTCTTTACCAGATTTTTGAGCTGGTTTGCTTGCTCCTTGTGGTAGTCGAGTTTGGCCAAGGACGATGGTCGATATTTATCAACCCACAAACTCATTTTCTCCCCTGAA